TTTGGAAATATTGGAAAATTAGCAGATTTGCAGGAAAGCAATCTGGCCTAAGAGTAGGTGTTCTCCAGGAGACGGAGGAAGAATAGTAGCGTATGAATTAAGGAATGAATGTGTATATGTGTGTGTCAATGCGGAGTAAAAATGTATTTCCCCTTCATTTGTTTATTAACCAATGTAGCTTAGATCTCTGTGTCTACCTTCTTTCTCTGTGTAAAAGTTGTTCTGATCCACCCTCTCACACTGAAATTGCAATAAAAGAACCTTTGTTTAAAAAGTATTCATGACACGCTGGCAACAGGATCATGCCATTCACCAGAACTGAGAATCACAAGCTATTTTGGGAGGCCACACCAACTAGTAGGAAGCACACAACGCTGTCTTTAAACAGAATGGTAGCGAGTGCAGGAATTGCCAGGAAAGATGCAACATCTGCCCCGCTATCCAAAGCCTAGAAAAATTATTTTTGTGAACGAAAGCTCCTTAAATGAGAGGTGTACCTTGTGAAAATGTGGTTGAAGCTTAATGTATGCCCATCTTAAAGACAACTGCAAGGGCTGATTCTTTGGGATATCAGAGGTGGTCACCTCAACATCTCAGGTTCTGGTCTGACAATCCTGCTGGAGATAATTTCCCACTCATCTATTACCTCCAGCAGGTTGTCAGACCAGAATCTGAGATGTTGAGGTAACCACCTCTGATGCCCCAAAAATTCAGCCCTACCAGTCATGATTTTGAACATTATAATGAGTTCTAAGTTACTATAATTTAAAATCTACCTGATAATTGTGTACGTGCTTGTTATTTGACATCTTCATTCTTGTTTCCTATTGTACCGATTCTTGGTATATTTATACACTTCCCATCAATCCAGGACCGAAAGAGCCATCTAAGGTGGCTTCTAAAGGAAAATAATTCAAGATCAAAGAATGAACCTTTATTTCTTTTCTCCTCTCACTCAATGATTCTGACTTAATGCTAGGGCTGGATCTCATCCTCACATGTATTGGCAAAAGAGATTCTTTATAAAGAAAGTCAAGGAGGCAGTGTAGACCTATTTCCAGGTATGAACTGGGGAGCTACAACAAATCTCTAGAGGACCTCGCTTCTCTTGCAGTGGGCCATGGTAGACTTTTCTGGCTATGATGGGAACATGCCAAGCAACATTGGACAATGGCATATTGGTTTTACACAATACATACTGAATTGTTGTTTTTTTCATGTCAGGAGCGACATGAGAAACTGCAAGTCCCTTCTGGTGTGAGAGAATTGGCCGTCTGCAAGGATGTTGCCCAGAGGATGCTTGGATGTTTGATGTTTTACCATCCTTGTGGGAGGCTTCTCTCATGTCCCCGCATGGGGAGCTAGAGCTGACAGAGAGAGCTCAATCTGCTCTTTCCAGATTTGAACCGCTGACCTGTTTGTCAGCAATCCTGCCAGCACAAGGGTTTAATCCATTGCACCACTGGGGGCTCCAATACATACAGTAGAGCAGGCATGGGCAAACTTGGGCCCTCCAGGTGTTTTGGACTTCAACTCAAACAAATCCTAACAGCCTATCAGCTGTTAGGAATTGTGGGAGTCAAAGTCCAAACTATCCAGAGGGCCAAAGTTTGCCCATGCCTGCAGTAGAGTCTTGCTTATCCAACATAAGCGAGACTCTACTGGATAAGTGAAAATGTTGGATAATGAAGAGGAATTAAGGAAAAACTTATTAAATATCAAATTACGTTACGATTTTACAAATTAAGCACCAAGACATCATGTTTTACTACAAATCAACAGAAAAAGCAGTTCACAGTAACATCATATAATAATTACTGTATTTATGAATTTAGCACCAAAACATCTCAATGTATTGAAACAGCTGTGGATCCAGGTGGGAGGCAGACTGCGTTGAATAATACAGAATGTTGGATGAGCGAAGGTTGGATAAGCGAGACTCTACTGTACAATGGACATGAATACATGAAAGCCCATTATATGAAAACAGGGCATGCACTGTCACGTCTTTAAAAAGCCTTCTGATACATTTGGGCAAAAAAACCCTTTCTTTAAAATCCATAAAAAGCTGCAAAACAAAATGATAAAACAGCAATTACTCCATGATATAAAACAGAACGTGGGGGAAATGGACTCTGAACAGGTACCTTTCAGTCCCTAGTTATCAATGCAGCTCCCACTGATAATATCTGTGAAAAGCTTTTCACTTTCCTGTGAACTGTCAAGGCCATTTTTACTAGATAATGGTGTTAACTGCCTTTGGGTGATATTTCTGATGTTCTTGCTTTCCCTTATTATGGCCTTAAGGAAAAAGCTATACGTCCATCCCCAAAACCTTTAAAATTGATTTGTTGCATAATCTCGGAACCTAGTAATTTCTACTAATATGAGCCTTGCTTTTTTTCTCAGTGAACAAAATATGCTATTTTTCTCTTATTTTATTGCTGGCATTGTTTCTCATTCTTTCTTTGGAAACCTTTCTATTTTTCCTCTTCCAAGAATTCAAGGCAATGCACATGAAAACAATATGCATCCAATAAAGTGCTGATTTTTGAGCTCTCTCTAGAGAGAGAATAATACTTTCATTATTTAAACTACTTTCCAACATTAATAATAATGCAAACTAATCATGGAGATCAAGCATAATCTGAAAAGTACCTCCAGGGCACTGTTTTGCATAGTAATTGTGATTTTGCCCAGAGCGTTAACTGAATTAGTTCTTTTGACTTTATTTGTTTTTTGTAATGACTCATAGCATTTGTATAATTATCATATTTTCTCTTAATCAAAAGTGAGGCTAACTCATAAGCATAAAAGTTTTAGCAATATTAAATTGACCTCACAATCTCTGAGGACAATAGATATGCATCAGGAGAGAATGCTTCTGGAACATGGCCATACAGTCTGGAAAACTCACAGCAACCCAGTGATTCCGACCATGAAAGCCTTCAACAACACAAAAGTTGTTTATATCATGTATTTTTTTCTCATTTTAAGCTGACAAAAGCAAGGGATCAACAGAGCAGTCACTGCCATCTTCTGGTAAACAGCAGAATACGCTTCAACATTTCGGATGAAAACTGGGGCATATGCTGGGAAGCAACACCATAGTGCATTGAAGATGGCAGAAGTTATTAATAAAGAAGAATGTATTGGTTTGAAGGGGCTGCAACAGTTTGCTTTTGCTTGATCCCACTGGGAAAGTGAAGAATCTCTTCCTACTGCAGAGTCGAATGCAAACTACTTTTGCGCTTTAAACTCAGTCAGTAGCAACTGGAGTAAGAACAAAAGGAAAGTGAAATAAAAAACTGGGGGTGCATCTGCACAATAAATTAATGCAGTTTGACAACATTTAAACTGCCCTGGCTCAATGCTATGGAGCCATGGGAGTTGTAGTTTGACGATGCATTAGTAGTCATCGGCAGAGAAGGCTAAAGATTTTGTAAAACCAGTTCTCACAATTCCATCTTTGTGCCATAGCAATTAAAGTGGTGCCAAACTGCATTAATTCTCCTGTGTAGAAGCACCCTGGGTCTTTCACTCATGCCTACTGGTTTCATTTGGTTTCAGTCTGCTTCTATAAGAGTTTAGTCATTTTCTTTGTTTTAATTTGTTTCAATTGGTTGCTGGATGTTCTTTTTGATCATCATCCAAAGAATGGGAAAATGTGTATAATAAGCACAATGAAGAAAATTGGCCAATATGCTGGCTGTAAATTTCTAGTGTACATGATACCACGAAACAGATCTTTTGAATGAGACTGAGAAAGTACAGCTGTGGAAGTTCTAGGGCGCCACTTTGTGGCTGCAAATAAATGTACCACCAATTGCAATATTCACACTTGCCTCAAGCAGACAAGAGTTCTTTCTCCCACTCTGGACATTCTACAGATATATAAACCTCACTTGCCTAGTTTCCAACAGACCTCACAACATCTGAGGATGCCTGCCACAGATGTAGGCAAAACGTCAGGAGAGAATGCTTCTGAAACATGGCCAGCCAGAAAACTCACAGCAACCCAGTACCAATAGCTTCTTGCAGAATCTGATTTTTTTTTAAAAAAAATGGCTTAAGCATTTAGGAACTATAGCATACTTCATAAGATGTGCATCTACAGAAGTGAGCTATACTCCATGGACTTTTTATACTTGCAGATCCACACTTACTTTCATTTATTTGTACACATCTTCAGTAGCATCCCAATATTTTTAATCTGGATGTGAAATGTAACCGTATGGATAGAAGGAATCCTTAGACTTTTCCCCAAATTAAATGGGAAAGGAATGAGAAAAAGAGAAAGAAAAGAATGACTTTTAAAGAAGAACTGAAAAAAATGATGAAGGGAATGATGGAAAGAGATATATATAGAACAGAGGTAGGAACAGGACTGAATAAAACAGCAGAGAAAAATATGGATATTTTTGACCAAATTTGGATTTTCTTTATTTCAGTTGTAAATAAGGTTAACTCTACTTCACATCTGCTAGAACATAAGTTAAAATCCCTGAAAGACATCTTAGCTGATCCTAGGACCAAAAAGACATAAAATAAGTGTAATACACATAATCCCTAGAACTTATTTGTATCATATAATAATAATGGTTTTATTCTATTTTTTCTCTCTCAAATTGATACAGAGTGAAGCACTATTCTAAATATGAAATATGTCTGGTTTTGGTCATTATTCATTTTCTGTCTTTTTGTGTTTATTTTGTTTATGTGTATAATAACATGAAATAAAACCTAAAAGAGGAAAGCTAGGATTTTGTTAAAGGAGGAGTGAATTGAGAAAACAATGAATTGAAGGGAGTGATTAAAAGACAATGTAAGTGGAGCAGAGGCAGGAGCAACACTGAATAATAATTATTCATGGGTCCTTCTCTTGTACGAGGGTTATCCAGAAAGTAAGGTTACAATATTTTTTTTAAATACAAAAGATGAATATATTTTAATAAAACTTATATGGATTGTAGCATAGGTATTACATTCCCCCCCCCCCCCATAATCACCGTTCAATTCAATATATTTTGTCATCTCTGGGACAAGTTTTTGATGCCTGTGTCATAGAAGTTTACCTTTGCCTTTTTCAGTCAGTTCGTCACTTTGATTTTCACCTCGTCATTGTCGGAAAAATGTTTTCCACCACGGTGTTCCTTCAATTTAGTGAACAGATGATAGTCACTGGGTGCAAGATGGGGGCTGTGAGTGGGGTGGCTTAAAACATCCCAACCAAATGAAGTCAACAACTCTTGTGTTTCATGAGTGGTGTGTGGACACGTATTATTATGAAGACAGACTCCTGCCATCAGCATCCCACAACATTTGTTTTGGATGGCTCTGTGAAGTTTCTTCATGGTCTCATAATATATTCCGTACCCATTTTGTCACATGCTCCCTTGACATTACGTCCTTGCCATAAACTGAAATGATTTCTCAATGAATCACAGCGGTGTTCATGCCCTTAGCATTTAGGTAGCGTATTACAGTGTGAACTTCACCTTGGAAGAAACGGAATGAGGACACTCATCTCTAACCTTCACCACAATGCCAGTCAATGAGCTACTGATGATTGGCACTGCTCGTTCACTTTTGCTGGCTTCCCACTACACAGCAGTGATACCAATTTCCCCCTCGAAAATTCCCTGCAAGAGCTACGTGCCTTGTAACTTCACTTTCTGGATAATCCTTGTATTTTTGAGTGAATAGTAGGACTGCCTTGTGGAATGGATGTTCCCTGTAGTCTTTTCTAACTCTATGATTCTAAAAAGCACAGGCCTATTTTATGTAAAAATAATTCAAGTAGGTGTTTTTATTTTATTTTAAAGCTGTGTTTTCTCACTGCCCCCACCCCCACAAGTTGACAGAAGCTTCCTATACCTGCCTAAAGCCCCTCCCTTTAAAGTGCCTATTCCTTTGCAGCAGACTTGTAATGCTGCAGGGTGCGGGCAGATGGGTCAGTGGCTTTGATCCATTTCGGCATCCAGTAGTGGGTGAGCCAATCAGATCGTCCCGGATAGTGCTTCTCAAAGATCTGGCGATAGTAATAGCCTTCTTTCGTCTTTGGGGGGTTGAAGGGAAATTTCTCTGCTGCCTTCTCCAACAAAAAGTCATCAACCTACAAGCAAAAAAATGGACAAAACTGTAAGATAGGCAGACCACAGCATTCATTGTAGCAATTCCCCCATAGAGCATGACCACAGAGTCATGCTGAAAAACCTAGAAACTCCTAGAAAGATATTCTCAGAATTTAAAAAATAGCAATTTATGTGTGCTTTTTTCACTTTCAAAAATACTGGTTCTAGAACAATAAAGAATAATATGCCCATATATCATTTGAGAGCATTTTATATTTCAAGAAATTCTTAAGATAACACCAATCAACACACATTTTGGTGCCTCAAATATTAGACCTGTTTCCGGGTCTATCTGATCTGTCAAATCCAAAAATTGGCACCAGTTTCCCCCTGCTAGCTCCAGATTTTGACATACAGAACATATTCAAAGTGTACTTGTTAAGCCTTCAGTCTTGTGAGACCCAAATACAAATCCTTACCAGGATTTAATGAGCCAACTTGGACCATTTATCTTCTCAGCTTAACCTACTTTACAGAGTTGTCGCGAGGATAGCTTGTCCGATGGAAAAAATGTATACATCTTCCTGACCTCATAATAAATAAATAGGCTAAATCCAACCATATTAGAGCCACTGAAATGAATGCTATTAGTAAGAACTTATGTAACTGGATTTATCCTGTGTGTCTACATGTGTGTTGGCCATAAAGGGGAGAATGAATTCTGTGGACTTTTCACTTGTCATGCTGAGAAAGAAAACGAAATGTTAACACACAATAGAGCACCTGAGCATCAATGTAGTCTTGCAGTATTGAGAACCACGATTTCTTGACAGAAGTTAAGCCATCACTGAAGGCTTCTTTTGGTCTCCATAGTATTTCTTTGGGCAATAAGTTAGTATCTTCAAAGGCCTCTCTTAAGAGATGCTTTTCAATTCCATTCTGTTAAAAGAGAATAACAAGCCATCAGCCACCAGAGTCTGTTTCAAATTGATCAGATTAAAGACGAAAATGCAGTCCTTTCTAAAGCATCTCAACTAGACATCTAGAGTGGTTCAAGAATGGATTTTCCCCAAACTCAAAGTTACCAATATGATGTTGATTGACATTATTGTCATAGTTGGGCCTAAAAAGGTCAGTTAGTTAGTTAGTTAGTTAGTTCGTTCGTTTGTTTGGTTAGTTGCATGCTGCAAGTTGCTTCCAGTGTGAGAGAATCATCCATCTACAATGATGTTGCCCAGGGGATGTCCAGATGTCTTACAATCCTGTGGGAAGGCTTCTCTCATGTCCTCAGGATGTCTACACCCCACACAAATTATACTATTTAGCTGGTATTGCACCACCTGACATCTGCCGGAAAGTAGCAGCCACTAATGAAAGGCCCAAGGCAATGACATCTCCGGCCCACACTCTGTTCAGATATCAGCCAGCATGCCAACACCTTAAATCAAGAAATAGCTTTCTACAGAGATACTCGCAGGAACACCTCAGCGAGCGAGACTCCAAAAGTAGAAGGCTAAGACCTGGAACCTCAATCCATGGGTGATACCAGATGAGAGACTCTCCCTGGGTACACAGAAGACTGGGCAACTTGAAAGGCATTGAACAGGCTGTGCTCTGGCACCACAAGATGCAAAGCCAATCTTCAAAAATGGAGCTACAAAGTGGAGCCCACGACATGCAAGCGTGGAGAAGAGCAAACCACAGACCACTTAATGGAGCCTGAGCCTTGACATATGCATAATGGAGGACCTTTTCACAGTGACACCAGAGGCACTCCAAGTGGCCAGCTTCTAGTCAAAGGACATTTATTATAATGCCAAGTTTTTAACTTTGTGTTTTTAAATACATTATAACTGTACCCTTAACTCACTTCTGATACGATAAATAAAAACCACTATGATGTTCCGAATTAGGTAACTAGACATGAATTCTAAACATAATTCCTCAGTGATATTCAGAGAAGTCAATGACAATCCATAATGAATGAACAAACCTAGTGATGATCAGAACCAAAGGAAGAAATATAAAATATGTTTCTAGGAAAGAAATCACAAGCGCTGCAAATCTTCTAGTGTTGCAAATAAATGGTATGTATCTTACTTTTGGTATTCTGAGTTCTGCTGGCAAGGACAGATAATAAGCAGTAAACTGGTGATCTAAAAATGGAACTCGCAGCTCAAGACTGAAAAGAGAAACAAAATTTGGATAAATTAATATTCTGTGTAACTGTAACACCTAGACAACATACTGATTTTACAGTCTATAGTCTACAGTTATTACTACACTGTAATATTCTGACTTGTGAAAAACTGATCTGCATAGCTGATGCAACTCTTACCAGTGGCTATCTTAGACAGATTAAACTGGAAAGTTTGACTCTCTGGATGTTGTTGGACTGCAAATCCTATTAGCCTCAGCCAACATGGCCAATAAGCAGGGAAACTTTTAAATGTGTATGTGTATGTGTGTATGTATATATATGTGTGTGTGTGTGTAGAGAGAGAGAGAGAGAGAGAGAGAGAGATTTTAAATTGTACTGAAATGCTTTTAATGTAAGCCACTTTGAGCCTCTTTATGGACAGAAAAACTGGGGTGTAAATAATAACAACAACAACAACTAGACACAAGCATTATGGAAGGCCAGAAGTCCTCCATCCCTATTGCGGAAATTCTCCCCAAAGATCCTCCCCTCAGTTGTAGTGCAGAGCTCTTAAATGGATGTTGAAGAATTTATTTTAACTTTAAAAAATTATCCTAAATTAAAATAGCTACTTTGTTGTTGTTTTTGTTGTTGTTGCTGTTATGTAGCTTCATGTTGTCTCTGGCAAGATCTATCCATAAATGGTTTGCTATTACTTTCCTCTGAAAACAGCCCTTAGTTCCTAGTGGTTTCTTTTCCTAGTGTTAATTAATGCCACATCTACACTGCCATATAATGCAGTTTGAAGCTGCATTATATCGCATTATAGATAGGGCCTAAGTCTGGTAATGCTTAGCTTCCAAGATCAAACAAGATCTTGCACCTTTAAGGTATTTAGGCAGAGAATCAGTTCACTTCCTGGTTTTAAAGGGCTTCTCTTATGCCCAAAATATAATAAAATTTCAAAATTCAGAGAATTCAAAAGAGAGTTTTTTAAAACATCAGCTCCTCGAAATGAGGAACAAGTTTAGAGGCATCAATAATGGCAGATTTGGACCCATCCCTGAAGAAAAGAGGAAGCTACTGGCTTTGTATCTAACTTCAGCAATAATAGTGTTCATGTTGAGTTCTACCCGTGGGCAGCAGTTGTCCTGTCGGCTCGGAGGACATCAAATAGATAGAGTTCCCTGAGAAGTCTCTCGCTCTCCTCTGCTGCTTCTTCTGCAGAGGGTGCCTACAAGAAAGGCAACATACAGGCAGCAATTACTTTCCTGCATAAAAAAAATTGGGCAGGTAATATGCAGAACACTGTTGGAGAGAAACAAGCAGCACATGTATTGACAAAGAGGAAGAGAGGGAGAAGAACCAAATTGGGGTTCTTTTTTTTTTTCTGGAGCAACATGGCAAAGATTATCATTATTTTGGAAAATTACCTTATGAAAATAGATATACCCTTGTGTCAGCTCGTCTGAACCTTCTCCTGAGAAAATGACTGCACTGTCTGTTTTTTTCCTGATGTACTGAGAGATCAGATACATACCTAGAGTGGAGATACAAGGTCCAAAGTTTATATAGACACTGAAGGCACTTCCAGACAGCACTATATCACAGTTTTAGTGACGGGCAAAAATCCCGGGACTTTAGGAGAGGTCCACATACACATCTGTTGGTCCCCGGATTTCTGCCTCTTTTGTCCAGACTTCATGCTTTGTTCTGAGATTTAAAGGCTCCTAAGATGGCTGCTGCAGACAGGACTTTTGCTGGAAACAGGCATTTTTTTTAATTAAAAAAAAACCTCGCAGGATGCAGATATATGGATATGTGGAGATTTGGATAAATGGATATGATTCCAGCCCAAATATGCTCAAAACATAAGGTGTACTATTATCCATAGTTTCAAGTATCCATGGGGGTATTCATTGTGGATAGTCCCTGTATATACGAAGGTCATATCAATGTAGTACATAGAAGAATTTTCTTAGATTCCAACAGACTCCAATGCAATGGTTCTTAACCTTTGGTTCCTCAGATGTCAGGGTTCAACCTCCAGGAACCCCTAGGAAATGTGGTCAAAGGTCACTGTTTCTGAAAGCTGATCTGCACAGTCATTTGGGGGACCAAAATATTGAACTGCCACCCTATAATGAGGAGAAAGGATTTCCTTAACCAAGGAACTTAGAATTGTTTTCAAGGTGGAAGACTCAAAAATCCTGGACCACTGCCTGGCAGCTTTGATGGATTGGATGTTGGCCAACAAACTGAGGCTTTATCCTGACAAGACAGAGGTCCTCCTGGTCAGTTGCAAGGCCGATCAGGGTATAGGATGGCAGTCTGTGCTCGACAGGGTTACACTCCCCCTGAGGTGACGGGTCCGTAGTCTAGGGATTCTCCTAGATTCATCGCCGATGCTTGAAGCTCAGGTTTCAGTGGTGGCCAGGAGGGCCTTTGCACAGGTAAAACTTGTGCGCCAGCTGCAACCATACCTTGAAAAGCCTAACTTGGCCATGGTGGTCCATGCCTTAGTTACATCCAGAATGGACTACTGTAATACACTCTAGGTGGGACTGCCTTTGAAGATGGCTCAGAAACTGCAGTTAGTGCAAAGGTCAGCAGCCAGATTACTAATTGGGGCTAGCTATAAGGAGCATACCATGCCTCTATTAAAGCAGCTCCACTGGCTTCCAACAAGTTTCCAGGCCCAATTCAAAGGGCAGGTTATCACCTATAAAGCCCTACACGCTTAGGGTCCAAGCTATCTTCGAGACCACATCTCCTCCACTTCTCGTCCTAAGCATGTCAGATAAAGGAATATTCACCCGGTAATAGCACCAGTGAAAGTAATCAACACTATAATTATGATAAAGACAATTGATCAAAGCATAAAATTTCTATATAAAGGAAAGAGGAAACTATATAAAGTTCAATTAAGTGAATCCCAATGCTGCTATAAACTAGGACATTTCGGATTGGTAGTTCCTTAGACTCAACTACATAGGAGTCTTGGTGACCTGGGTCATTTCAGGGGGACTCAGTCTAGCCTTGAAGAGGATCAGACTTCTGACATCCATGCCTTTAATTTTTCTAGAAGAGGAAGAGCATATCAGTTTCCAAGGATCAGCATGCTTCCTCAACTGGAATCTCACTGATCCTCCACAAAGCTCAAATGGGATTAATGGAAAGGAAAGGCAATCTCTGTGACACAAGCCCAGGAATCTAGGATACTGTAATACAAGAAAGAATGTTTTGTGGCCACACTGCCTTTTCCCCAACTCGCAGTTGGGGAAAAGGAGACAAGTCAAAGGGATTCAGTGAACTGCTGTTTATTTGCTGTAAAGGTATGCACCCAGATGTAAAAATTAAAGTAGCAGTAATCTTACCCACTGACGCTCGTATAGTAGTGATATCATATGTTTCCAAGGAAAATATAACATCTTCAAGGACTTGAATCCCTTCTTCAGAATTAAAAATAACCTCATGATGTTGGCTTCCAATGTGAGCTGCTACCTGTTGGTGACAACCAAGTTTGGTATGAAGTAATTAAACTAAATTAACCTCAAAACTAAAAGTTGATCTATAAGGAACAAGGGGCTTCATGTGTGTGCATGTTCTTATCTACTAAAAAAAAGAGAGTTTAAAATCTGCTTTTAAATCTCAGCTCAGGACTATCACATCATATAGCAGCAAATTTTATAGATTAGAATTGTCTGTTGCCAGAAGAATCTTTCTCTGTCCTGTCATGAATTAAATATCACTTAATTTGTTAGTACTGTTCCATTCCAAGTTACTGTGTATACTCATAAGTAAGTCCAGAAATTCTAATTAAAAATAGCCTCAATAAACTTGGGTTGACTGATCCAAAGGTCTTATGAAACAAGGAACCATCTCTGTCTCTGAATAGAGTAGCAAAAGGTGAGAGCTGAGTCCATTCTGGGAAAATATAAAAGAAGACTGATTCCCTCTGCATCTTCTACCACAGCACAACTATTGGACTTTTTAAATGTCTAGATGGAAAAATGGCTGCGGTAGCCAGGGGCAACCGATCTCTGAAGCAGCACTGGTGCTTTCCCTTCTTCATGGAATGACCTTCAACTTATCCACAGGCCATATCAAAATCCATAATTTTGGCCTCAAAACCTGTCCTCAACTTATACATAAAGTCAACATGGAAATTAAAGAAGTGCTTGTGAAATTTCAGGCTATGACCATATACTTCCAGAGTATCTTGATAGACTTAAGGACTAGGACTCTGCCTAAATTCACACACAAAATCTTAGCTGCCCATTACTGTCCATGCCCATTACTGTCTATAGTCACAATAATTATGCAGCTTACTGAAGTCAAGATACTAATGTTTTAACAATGCACAAGCATTCACAGTACAGTTAAGCTAGATCACATATGCAACTTAGCAGTGCAACAACAGTCATTATGCAATGAGTTCCCTCATTGCCAAATGATGAAATAATTTTCCATTCACCAAGGGCCTTTCAACACAGCCCTATATCCCAGAATATCAAGGCAGAAAATCTCACATTATCTGCTCTGAACTGGAATATATTGCAATGTGGACTCAGATAACCCAGTTCAAAGCAGATATTGTGGAATTTTCTGCCTTGATGTTCTGGGATATGGTGCTGTGTGGAAGGGCCCCCAGTGGAAAGTTTTAGGGAAGGCATTGTTTGTTACTAAATAACAATTGGCTGTACTAAGGACCACCAAGAAACTTTTTGGAACCATTTTTACACTTCAATAGAGCCAAAACATCAGAGCACCTTTCTTGCAGCCAGCAGGTCAGGGGCATCTTCCATTCCAATAGAAAAGGTTTGCAAGGGGTAGGTAATCTTTTGTTCTTTCATCAATTTGATCAGCACTGCAGCGACCAAGCTAGAATCCAAGCCACCTGTAAAAAGTGAGAAAACTGCAAATTAGAAACGCTATTCCTGCAAGAGCATCTCTCCAGGAATTTTTAAATCCTCAAGAGCAACTCTATGTAGAGATCTTTACAGAGAGTATATTAATCAAATTCATGAATTTATTTATTGTGTCAGAAGCAAACCGAGGGTACAGTTATAATGGATTTTTAAAAAACACACACAAAGTTAAAAACTTGGCATTATACTAAATGTCCTTTGACCAGAAACTGGTCACTTGGAGTGCCTCTGGTGCTACTGTAAGAAGGTCCTCCACTGTGCATGTTGCAGGGCTCAGGTTGCATGGTAGTAAGTGGTGTGTGGTTTGCTCTTCTCCACACTCAAATGTCATGGACTCCACTTTGTAGCCCCATTTCTTAAGGCTGGCTCTGCATCTCGTGGTGCCAGAGAGCAGTGTGTTCAGTGCCTTCCAAATCACCCTCGCTTCTGTGTACCCAGGGAGGAATCGCTCATCTGGTTATCAGTCATGGATTGAGGTTCTGGATTTTAGTCTGCCACTTTTGGACTTTTGCTTGCTGAGGTGTTCCTCCAAGTATCTCTGTAGATCTTAAGAAGCTATTTCTTGATTTAAGGCGATGGTGCTGACTGATATCCGAACGGAGGATGGGCCAGAGATGTTACTGCCTTAGTCCTTTCATTATTGGCTACTACTTCCTAAGGGATGTCAGGTAGTGCAATACTGATGCAATCCATGAACAATCAAATAGGTACTGGTATATCTATGCTCATTGGTGCTATTTATAACTATGTGGGTCTTTTTTTAAATCAAGGATCTCACATACCAAATATTTGATACATTAAGGAACCATATATATTGGTTGAGAAATGTTTTTGCGGCTTTCAAATTTTAGTATCAATACTATGGCCAATCACAGCATTGATCAGATGTTATTCTTGATAGAAAGAGAAGACCTAGACTGACACAGCAAATGCTCAGTTAATAAGCTGATAGAGGACCCTGCAACAGGGATAGAATCTGTTGCAGGTTACAACATGAGGAGGATCTACTTCTGCTTGATAATTTCACACAAAGGAGCTTCTCTTCTAAGAATAGTACAAAGCTGCTATGAATCACAAATGAACAAATCTCCTCTTGTGTCCAATCTCCACCGGCTGCAGTCCGGCCCTCTCTGACAAATGGGGATGCGTCCTCTTTACTCAGGCTGCTCATGACAGGCAGCTCTTGATGCAAGGAGAGGGAGAGCAACAATTCCTCATAGTTACAAGTATCAGGAGAATTCTTCCCTGGTGTCTCTCATGTTGCAAAATAGAAGCCCTCCTTCTCCATCGTCTTCTGATATTTTTCAAGCTCTATAATTCCTACCCAGCCAGAAAGGGATGATGGAAACTGTACCCAGACAATATTTGGAAGGTTACACAGATATTCGATCTCTGACATATTTTAAGTATCAGAACCAGATGTACTGCACTGGCACACACTCTGTTAGGAATGGTGTTGATTTGTTACCATCTACTTTACCTGATAAGAGACAGCCAATTCTTCGGTGAGCCATTAAACGCTTTCGAACAGCATTTTCTAACAAAATCCGAATGTTGCTCTTCACTGTTTCAACATCAAAGCCTTTCAGGAGGAAAAAAGAGAGTTCATTAAAATAGACTAAATAAGAACATGGCCATCTTCTCGAGAAACATAACCCATGCTCTATTAACAATGCACTGAATCTCAAGATACTGCAGTTCTTGAATGGGGTGGGCATCCTCTGGTTCTAAGACCTCAAGTGACCCTAATTTCAGAAGCAGTTAATAAAGAAAAAGTATTTGCCGTTCTGTCAACTAACACACTGGCTGAGAAAGGGGGAGAGAAAGACAGAATGGTTCAAAGACAGACAGAAGGCTGACACCCACTTTGAAATCAGATGGACTCACCCAATGACAATATACCCAATGTTGTCCTTCAGTCTGTTCATACTAGCTCACCTGAATCAGTGGTTAAAATTAAGATCCAGAGACTGGTGAGGGGAAAAGGGGGACCAGGAAAAGCAATGGGGAGGAGAAGAAAGAGACTGGAAGAAATTATCTTTGGCCCCATGTTTACATATCTTGGTAACATCCCATTTAGACTACTGTAATGGGCTCTACATGGGGCTGCCCTTGAAGAGTGTGCAGAAACATCAATTAGTTCAGAGATCTGCAGCCAGGTTATTAACAGGTGTTGGACTCAGGGAGCATACTACCCCGCTGCTAAAGCACCTGCACTGGCTGCCAATTCCTTTCCGGGCCCGATTCAAGGTGCTGTTTTTAACCTTTAAAGCCCTAAACGGTTCAGGTTCTATTTACCTATCTGACCATGTCTCCTCATACCAACTTGCCCAAATGTTATGATCTTCTAGCGAGGCCCTCCTCTTGTTGCAGCCACCATTGCAAACGTAGTTGGCGGTGACAAGAGAGAGGGCCTTCTCAAAACTCCCTCCCCAAGGAGGTTAAAACAGTCCCTTCCCTGACATCTTTTAAAAAGCACCTAAAGACCTTCCTGTTTGTGCAAGCTTTTGATGAAGGCACCTAGCTGTCATGACTGGAAGGCTAACTTTCATTGAGTCATGCTAGTGTTTAGCATCTGTCTTGTTGAATTGCCAGCAATAATTGTATTAGGCAAATGTTTTTAAATATGTTTATTTCTTATTGTAAATTTGTTTTAATATGTTATTGTTTTACATATGCATCTTGTTTTGTGTGGTCTTTTATATAATGTTGTAAGTCGATTTGGATCCCATTTAGGAAGAAAAGCGGGATATAAATAAAGAATTATTATTATTATTATTATTATTATTATTATTATTATTAGGAGGAGGAGGAGGAGGAGGAGGAGAAGAAGCAAGAATATCAGAGGAAAGGGAAAGGTTGGATCCTCTAGAGCAGCAGGGAAGAGTTGGGGAGTTGGATGCACCATGTGCCCTACTGTCCTGTGAGGTTGCCACCCAAATGGCTGGAGGAAACACCAGCCAGATGCAGAACTGTCAGAGCAATATTTACCAGCTCCTGGTATGCAAGGAGAGAGGTGGCAAACATCCCCAGGTAAATGGACATTGGCAGAAAATACTAAAACATGCACACCTGGGGGGAGGGGGAGACACAACTAGTTGTTTTTTTATTCTGAATGTCACTACTGAATATGAGTTTACCTACCCACCTCCTGAAACAGAACGAAATCTGACAGTAAAGTCACATACACTTTGAAGTTTATGGAATGTACCTGTCTAACAGGATAAGAAACTGGTATTACATTCACTGTTACCTGAGGGTAGATTTTGTACTGTACTGTAGGCAGCGTGCAGAGGTTCATCTTTAGGGCTGTGAAATTTCACCACTTCCACTGATGCCACTTTGCCGCTTGGCTTTAAATCCAAGACTTCGTAATGTCCTGGAGGGAAAGGTTCCACTTTGGGAGCAAAGGACATGTTGTGTTTCAAATCAATAAGACCTATATAAATAAGAATACACAAATGGTACAGAGGAGGTCATTAGTTTTTGCCTAATAACATGTCTGCTACTATAATACTTGAAATTGCTTTCCTCTGGATAAATGTCAACATTGCCCTGAAAACATTAGATTTGAAATTAGCTTCAGGTAATAACAGCACTATAACTGTCATCAATACAACAGATTTAGCATGGTTTAGAAGCAGCTCTCCTTCAAGTGGGGAAAGACATCTGACTGTTGTAGCACATGACTGTCCTCACCTATGCATCATGCATGGTTTGTTTTGTGATTGTTACTGGAAGGTAATAAACAAAGTGTTATTTGCTAGTCTTGATGTTAAAATGCAAGGTTCCAATGACATTCTACTGTTTGCACACACTTTTTCTTACTTTTCTCTAACTTTCCTCTAGTGTGAGCCTATGACAGATATAACCTTGGCTACTAGAATGAGGAAAAGATCTTCAGCTTTTCAGGTTAAAGACCTAACATTAAAGGAATCCAAAGCTTTAATACAGGAAGACTAAAGAACCTATGACCCTCTAAGGACTGCTGGACTCCAATTCCTTTCAAAATCAGCCAGTACAGCCAGTGGTCAGGAATCATAGAAATTACAGCGATATCACATTTGAAAGGCCATGAACTCTTCACCATAATGAATAACTTAGCTAATGAAGAAATACTGATCAACAAGTTAAATAATTAATGAGGCCAGTACTGCGAGCAGCAGAAAGAATAAAACCAGATGGATGATGGACTTGCAAACTTCTAAACATTGGCCCATAATATATTTCTAGTAGGACTGTTACATTGTTAGGAAGAGATATTCCCAGTCCTATCTTTTCTCTTTCATTCGTTAAAAAGATAACTTAGATCAAATTTAGGGGCTGCAATGGTGCTGAAGGTAATCCTCTAAGTTGCAGAACTTGCTGATCAGAAGGTCAGTGATTCAAATCTGCAAATGGGGTGAACTCCCATTGTTAGCCCCAGCTTCTGCTAACCTAGCAATTCAAAAATATGCAAATGTGAGTAGATCAATAGGCACTACTTCAGTGGGAATGTAACAGCAATCCATGCAGTCATGCTGGCCACATGACCTAAGAAGTGTCTATGGACAACACCAGCTCTTCAGCTTAGAAATGGAGATGAGCACCAACTCCCAGAGTTGGACATGACTAGACTTAATGTCAAGGGGAAACCTTTACCTTTACCTAAGATCAAATTTAACTATGAGGATTTATTGACCATTTTATTAGATGAGAAAACAACTCTGGATTGCTCATGCTTACATAATGTCTAAATATATAACTGTATTTATTTTAAAATAAATTCCCAAATAAATCCTGTAAATCATGACAGATGGAGAATGCGGAGTAAAAATGTTTTCTATAATGGGAACCCATTATTTCAACCATATTAAACTTGAGCAAACTCTTAACTTCCCTATGCAGAAGTCAGTGCAGCTTTACTAAACTTTAACAAGCCCTATAATTTTTTATATATCACAAAATTAAAATGTTCATCAGACAAGGTCACGGAATATTCACTACTAAATTCACCTCACATTTTCATTTTGCAGAATGGTTTTGTTTTTTCTGCTGAAAGCTGTCAAACCTCATTCAAAACAAGCGATCAACTGAGACTTTCTACTTCACTCAACACAAACATTCTCACGAAAATTATTTCTGTCAACATGAAAGGAAACAGTGTCTTCAGAAATAAAAGACTAATAATGTCAGGATACAACTGTGTTGTTTTGCAAGATTGTAGTTGTGCAATTTTAAATATTCTGACTCTGTGAAGAGGATTATGAAAACCTTCATAGTTTGGAGTTACCTTTTGCTTCAGAGCAAACACCCAAGAATCCATCGTCGGTCAAGACCTTAAACAATGGTCGAACTCCGTATGTATCTCTTCCCAGAAACACTTTCCTGTTTGCAGTATCAAGCAAAATGAAGGCAAATACGCCATCAAGCATAGAGGCTGTTTGCTCAATTCCCCCTCTGTTGTAAAGATGCAGGATTACCTCTCCATCTACTAACGTCTGGTAATCAAATCCAAAGTGTTTCTGTAGCTACAACATTAAAAAAACATATTAACAGGGGAGGAAAATTAGCATTCACAGAAACATTTCAAAAGTGCATTACATCCTTAAAAGAGAACAATGATACTTTAATCTGATAATGACACATATTTGTTTTGTCAATAAGACTCTGGAAGATGTTGTACACACTGTTAAATTCTAAATATGACTACACAATTTGATTAAATCAGCACTGAATTAAAGAGCGGTTGTTTTGGGATAATTGATGAAAAAAACTAAACTGGGGATAAATTGGCTTCCACATCATAAATGCTTCACAACAATGCTGGAGCTATAGTTTTCAAATATTTTGAATGCAAGACCTATTCTAAAGGGTTTATCTTTGCCTTTCCCTTAGAGGGTGCAACCCAATGGGTTTCCACTAGTCATGCGCCCAGTTATCGTTTCATCTGTTTATTTCGTGTTTTCGTTTCGTTTGTTTCATTCAGATGGCACGAAACAGTTCAACCCCCCGTTTTATGGTACAAACATAAAAGTGAAACAAAAGGGAAGTGGTAACTGTAACCATATGGTCACCTGCTTTTCGGGTTACATGACATGGCCCAAGGAATATTTCTTCATTGCTTTACCTCTGAGCCCAGTTGGGTCAATCAGAGGAGAAAAATGTAGTGACATAGTGATGTGGCACACATTATTCAGGGTATTTTTTTAAAAAAAATCATTATTTTTCAAAGGAAAGTAATTGTAGAATAATTTCCCCACCTTTGAAAACCACTATCTTTCTATCAAACCTTCAATCTCTCTCTATCTCTGCTCCTGGCCTGCCTTGTTCTGCACTGTAAATCACTGCATTTCCAGGAATAGTTAAATCACATCTGTAATACATTTTAAAAAACAGCCAAAGGGTTGGGAAAAGGTGTCGTAGTGTCACCTTCAAAGGGGTTTGACCAAGTTGGTGGGCTAAAAGTGGTATATATGCCCTCCATGTGTGGTGATTTTCACCCCTCTAGCCCTAAAACTGAGGGGAGAGGGAGCCTGGGAAGCCCTCCCATTGCTGCCAATGGTCCAAAAATGTTTGTTCTTTGAGATGCAGCACAAAAACGCCCATTCGGAAAGGCACCCATTTTCAGAAGTGGTGCTTGAAAATGAAAACAGGGCCATACAAATGAAACAAACAGAAACAGGTAGTGATACTATACAAATGCACAAAACTACTTTCCACAGTGGACCAATCCTGATCTCCAGATTGTGCAAATCACTACCATGTGGTAGCATAAAGCCATTGAAATTAATAGGATTTGTTAGTCTCCACTACCTGGAACCAATATTAGATTCAATTTCTATCCCCATAACCAAAAATGTCTGTCATAAGGCCTGCTCCCAGAGATGACTCTCATTATTCCTGCAAACTTCTACATTTTCCTGTGTAGGCTTAACAATTCTGACTTTTTGTTGTGGTGAGACATTGAACAGCAGAGAAATCCTCAACTCTTCACTGAAGTCCATTTTTATTGGATCTTAGCCCCCAGTTTTTTAGCCACTTCACTGGGCCTCTCTCAGGTTTAAGGGCCCTTCCACACAGCCCTATATCCCAGAATATCAAGGCAGAAAATCCCACAATGTCTGCTTTGAACTGGGTTATCTGAGTCCACAATGACCTAAATTCCAGTTCAAAGCAGGTAATGTGGGATTTTATTCAACTGTGTGGATGGGACCTTGGTCTCTTGTATACGTTTTTCTGTCCAGTTACCTAAAGCCTCATGGTGGCCTAAGAGTCTTCATAGAAAGGAGTGGAATGTCTCTTTTTTGTAGATAGATGCACTCCTTTTGAGATAACATCAGGACCACAAGCCCTTAATGGGTGAGACCAAAGCCAACACAAACCCATAATGGGTACACTATCCTCCTTCCCCATTGTCTCTCCCTCTACTTCCCCAGCCCCATCCTCTCATCAGGGATCTGACAGCTTACGGACAGCTCTGGAAACCAGGACAAAGGATGCAGATTGTCCAAGCATGGTCTAAAGAAATTACAGGCTGAACATGCAAAGGATTTTACTAAGACAAGAGAGGCACGAGGAAAATGTGTCATAGCAAATCCTAGAAAAGGCGTTCCTTCTAAGAGGCTTTAGGGGATTTTTACCTGCTTGTAGTTATAGATTTCTCCATTGTAACACAGCCACAAGTAGGGAAATTTCTTCACTCGTAGAGGCTGCATTCCATACAGCTGGTCCACAATTGCCAGACGATGGAAGCCAAAACAGCAGTTGGTGAATCCATTGACATTCTCAAATCGGAAAGCATCCGGGCCTCGGTGTGCTATTTTCATGGCACACAGACACTGAACAGAGAGGCATCCATCGCTCCCAAAAAGAGCCCAAATGCCACACATGATGACCTTGATTCAAAGCTGTTGGAGAAGAAATAATAATAATAACAACAGCAACGTGATGTGGTGACCAAAAGAAAAAAGCAAATGCAACAGTAGGCTGTACCAACAGAAGTCTAGTGTCCAGATCATGGAAAGTAGTAGAGCCACTCTATTCTACTTTGATCAGAGCTCAACTGAAATACGGTGTCCAATTCTGAACAACATGGTTCAAAAAGGGTTGTGTCCAGAGAATGGTGACTAATGTTAACATACTATGCCCCTACTCAAGCAGTTCCACTGGCTTCTGACAATTTTCCAGGCTCAATTCAAGGTGCACTGAATTCTTGCCAGAGCTGTAAGTCACCTTGAGTCCTCTCGGGTGAGAAAGGCGTGGTAAAAATGAAGTAAATAAATAAATAAAGCCCTATATACTTTGTGTCCAATCTATCTTCAAGAGAACATCTCTTTCTATGAACTGGTGCAGGCCTTGAGATTAACAGGGGAGGCGTTTATCTCGGTTCCATCACCGTCTCAAGCACGGTTGTTGGGGACGAGAAAGAGGGCCTTCTCTGTAGTGGCTCCCTGGCTCTAGAATACCTTCCCAAAAGATAACAGGTTAGCCCCCACCCTTACTTCTTCCAATCCAGCCTAAAGCCATGGGTTTTTAAGCAGGCTTTTCGTGTACCGTTTATGTTACATACTACACTTGCAGTGTCTTGTAAGCTGGCCTGAGTCCCTTTTGGGAGGTGGTGGTGGGATATAAATAAAGTTTATTATTATTTATTTATTTAGAGGACTGAAGATTTGTAAACAGATATGTTTAGCTGGATATGTCTAGCTTGAAAAAGAGAATACTGAGAAGTAGAATGACAACCATCTTCAAATATCTGAAGGAATGTCATATACAGTCACTTCTCCACATTTGCCAGAGTTAGGGATGCAGGAGCCTATTGGAAATGGAAATAAAATGACTCTTTTTAACATGAGAGAACACTTCTCTAGCAATTTCTAGGACTTCCAATCAGACTCTATGGTCAATTTTGAGTAGAAGTTGACCACAGAATTGCAATGAAGATCCCTAAAAGACCATATCAATAAAATCCAATGTGCAAACGTTCAATCTGTAAACAAGGAGGGATAATGGTAGAAGGTTAAGTTAGCTTATTTTCTACTGCTCCAGAGACCACATTTATCAGTGGATCCACACTGCACATTCAGCAAAGGACAAGAAGGATCCTCTCACCTCTGCAGGAGTCTACCGTACACCATGCAGCTGTAGACAAGTCTACATAGGGATCACCAAACGCAGGATTGCCCACACAAGAATTAAAGAACATGAAAGGCACATCAGACTAATTCGACCAGAGACGTCAGCCATCACACCTGATGAACCAACCTGGACACAGCATATTTTTTGAGAGCACAGAAATGCTGGACCACTCTAGCAACTACTATGCCAGACCGCACAGAGAAGCCATTGAAATCCACAAGCATGTGGACAATTTCAACAGAAAAGAAGAACCATAAAAATGAACAAAATCTGGCTACCAGTATTAAAAAATTCTAAAATTATAACAGTAATTAAAGAACAAAACTCAAACACTGGGGAACTCCAGACAAGAAACAATCAGGGCCAGTTAACACCTCTCAACAATAGATTCCCCCAGGCAGGAAGCAGCCAAGCCTTGAAGCTGCAAAGCTATTCAATGGTAATCAAGGTGATCAATTGCAGCATTCACACTTGCCTCAAACAGACAAGAGTTCTTTCTCCCACCCTGGACATTCCACAGATATATAAACCCCATTTTTCTAGTTTCCAACAGACCTCACAACCTCTGAGGATGCCTACCATAGATGTGGGTGAAACGTCAGGAGGGAATGCTTCTGGAACATGGCCATACAGCCCAGACAACTCATGGCAACCCAACAAGAGAAAATCAGCTGTTAAGATCTGGATAGAAATGTCCTCCTGGGCTCAATGACTTAGCGATTCACACATTACACACTATTGGTAACAGAAATACAGCTTAATGGTGTAACATTAGAAAATGTTGACCATTTCCACTACCTTGGCAGCCACCTCTCCACAAAAGTCAACATTGACACTGAAGTGCAACAATGCCTGAGCTCTGTGAGTGCAGCATTTTTCTGAATGAAGCAGAGAGTGTTTGAAGACTGAGACATCCATAGTGATATCAAGGTTCTTGTTTATAAAGCTATTGTCTTCCCAACCCTGCTATACGCCTGCGAGACGTGGACTATCTACAGACGTCACATGTAGCTCCTAGAATGATTCCATCAGCGTTGCCTCCGAAAAATCCTGCAAATCTTTTGGGAAGACAAGCGGGCAAATGTCAACGTGCTGGAAGAAGCAAAGACCACCAGCACTGAAGTGATAGTCATTCACCATCAACTCCACTGGACTGGCCACGTTGTCCAGATGTCCAACCACCGTCTCCCAAAGCAGTTGCTCTACTCCGAACTCAAGAATGGAAAACAGAATGTTGGTGGGCAGGAAAAGAGATTTAAAGATCGACTTGAGCCAACCTTAAAAACTCTGGCATAGACACTGAGAACTGGGAAGCCTGGCCCTTGAGCTCTCCAGCTGGAGGTCAACTGTGACCAGGAGTGCTGCAGAATTTGAAGAGGCACGAATGGAGGGTGAAAGAGAGAAACATCCAAGAGGAAGGCGTGTCAAGCCAACCTCGACTGGGACTGCCTCCCACCTGGAAACCAATGCCCTCACTGCAGGAGAAGATGCAGATCAAGAATTGGGTTCCACAGTCACCTACGGACCCACTGCCAGGACACCGATCTTGGAAGACAATCCTACTCGGACAACAAAGCATCACCTAAGTAACATACTATTTGAGTCCAAGCACCCTATAGCACTGTATTGTTACAGTGTTATTATTCCACTTTAACTGACATGGCAATAGTATCTGGAGTCCTGAGATGTGTGGTTGAGGCAATGGCATTTAAAGGTCTTGGCGGCGTGAGAGGTCTTGGGCATCACTAAATCCATAGGATATTGTCATGGCATTTGGAGTGGAATAAGAGCACTATAATAGCATATGCTAGGAAGTTCGGGCTACAGGTCAGGTTCAAATATCCATTCCTTACCAAGTGTATTAGTTATCCCACTAAAAAAAGAACTGGAAAACTGGACTGCAAGGAATTCAACAGGTGTAGCTTTCCTCCACCTTTCCTGTGATGCGGAGAAAGTAAATTATACTGTAGAGCAGGTATGGGAAAACTTGGGCCTTCCAGGTGTTTTGGACTTCAACTCCCACAATCCCTAACAGCCTCAGAACCCTTCTTTTTCCCCCTCAGCCGCTTAAGCGGCTGAGGGGGAAAAAGTAGGGTTCTGAGGCTGTTAGGGATTGTGGGAGTTGAAGTCCAAAACACCTGAAGGGCCCAAGTTTGCCCCTGGCTCAATGCTATGGAATCATGGGCACTGCAGTTTGACAAAGTCTTTCGCCTTCTTTGCAAAGTTCTGGTGCCTCACCGAATTCCCTGGATCATTCTCATACCATAGAGCAGTTCAAGTGATATCAACCCGCATTAATTCTACAGTGCAGACATGCACCTGTGGAAGCCCAGAGTTTGGGAATAAACTGTCCTAAGAGGCATAAACTCATAAGTTTGGGAATAGAAAGGATACCGAAAGCTTACATAGAGATGCAATGCTCCAAGGAAGGAGATAATATATTATTACTACCTTTATTAGTATTGAAAAGGCTATCCCTTTCTTACCTGAGCTCAGAGGAGGAGGAACACAATTGCTTCCGCACTAGAAGAGCAGTTGGCAGGAGACTTCCACGCCTCCAATTCATCCGTGTGTCAACCGAAAGCGAGAAGGGGAAGTCTGGCAAGCCTTCTGTAACACGAGGCCGGATTGCATCAGTCCTGAGCTCCGCCTCCCGCTTGCAAACTGGCAACCGATCGCCTCCCAGGGCTACCCACCGAGCCAGCGCTTCCCAGGAGAGAAACTAGGTTGCGACCAAAGCCGGCTGCCACTCATGCCTCTGGTCCCGCCCTCTTTCCTAAGCAGGGCATCTACATCAGGCATGGGCAAACTTCAGCCCTTCCTCCAGGTGTTTTGGACTTCAACTCCCACAGTCCTAGGCTTGGACAGCACCAGCATCCATTTCTGTAATGATCAAGTTCTCTGGAGCTTTGGGTTGCTGTGAGTTTGTATAGCCATGTTCCAAAAGCATTCCCTCCTGCTCGCATCAATGCATCCTCAGACGTTGTGAGGTCTGTTGGAAACTAGTCAAGTGAGATTTATATATCTGTGGAATGTCCAGACTGGGAGAAAGAACTCTTGTCTGCTTGAGGCAAGTATGAATGTTGCAATTGGTAGATTTCTCTCATTTTCTGTTGTCTCACCCCCGGCTGCCCCCCCTAAAGGACCAAGGCAGAGACATCCCCAGCTCATCCCCTGTTTGGATATCAGCCAGCACGTCAACGACTTAAATCAAGAAATCATTTTCTAAGATCTACAGAGACACTCGCTGGAACACCTCAGCAAGCGAGAGTTCAAAAGTGGCAGGCTCAAACCCAGAACCTCAATCAATGGCTGATACCAAATGAGAGACCTCCCCCCTGGGCACACAGAAAACTGGGCGCTGAACAGACTGCGCTCTGGCACCACGAGATGCAGAGCCAACCTTAAGAAATGGGGCTAGAAAGTGGAATCCACGACATGCGAGTGTGGAGAAGAGCAAACCACTGACCACCTGCTGCAATGCAACCTGAGCCCTGCCACATGCACAATGGAGGACCTTCTTGCGGCAACACCAGAGGCACTCCAAGTGGCCAGATACTGGTCAAAGAACATTTAATCAACTACCAAGCTTGCAGGGGCGGCTCAACCCATTACACAAAGTAAGCATTTGCAGTATAGTTGATTTTGCCCAGGGGCGCTCTTGAAGCACTCTTGGGGGAAAATAGACCTTGACATATGCGAGTTGTAGTTACTGGGATGTATAGTTCACCTACAATCAAAGAGCATTCTGAACTCCACCAATGATGGAATTGAACCAAATATGGCACACAGAACTCCCACGACGAACAGAAAATATATATCAGTGATTGGTTGGGGGGGGGGGGGGCAAATACTGTTTGCTTACCGTTGAAAATTACCTAGGGCCACCTCTGCAAGCTTGCAAACTTTATGTTTTGTTTGTTAAAAAATGCAACGCAACTGTTTGGTCTGCTCCTGACATGATAAATAAACCCCCGTTCTTAACTATGAATCATTTGTAAATCAGATGTTTGTAACTCAGGAACTGCCTGTAATCCAGTGTCTGATTCCAGATTATCAATGTTGAACTGAATTATATGAGTCTACACTGTCATATAAACCAGTTCGAATCTGGATTTCATATGGCAGTGAAGATAAAGCCTGAGGGAATCCTGGGATATGCAGTTTGGAGAGAGAAGCTTGAATTTCTGCTGCAGTTCAAGAGAATTGGGGCTCTATAACAATCAAACAAGTTCCTTCCTAAATTGTATATCTCTTGATTCCTTAGGCTGGAGCCATGGAAGCTAATGTGATAGCTTTCCTACCTACTGTATCGCATATAACAACAAAACAACAATATTTATTATGGTCCATAGACCCATCAGTGAAACAGACAATCATTTCTAAATTCTCACAACTCAGAAGTTCATTCTACCAAATATCAGATATATCTGCATTGTTTCAAGTCATACCCCTATTGGAGGTTTGTTTGTTTCTCAGTCTTGTTGCCACTGCAAGGAATTTTGCCACTGCAAGAGTCACTCTGTGGCATTTATCCTCGCATATAATTTGACCCATGGATCAGGCCCATATAATATGGGGGACATCTGCTTCAGTCAGCCAGGACTAGGTTAGCAACTGTCATCCAAATATATTTTTTTTCTCCATCTGCCCCTAGACTGTGGAATGATCTGCTGGAAGAGATTTGACAGCTGCATCCGCTGTCTGAATTTAATACAGGATGAAAGACCAGTCTCATCTGGAAGGCATATCCCGATTATTTTCAAATTGTGAAGTTTAAAGGATGGACTGATTGTTTTGGTATCTTTTGGTTTTACTTAACATCATGTGTTTATAAGAACATGTGTTTTTAACTGATGTTATGTGTCGGATTTTAATGGTTCCCCCAACTCATAGGAAAAAGCAGATGATAATAATAATTCCTCTATGATTCAGTAGTGTGGATAGTTGTTTCTTTCTCCAGACTGATGTGAACTTGTAGTGACAGCCCCAGGGTGCATCTACATCTGTAGAAATAAAGTATTCTGACAGCACTTTAACTGCCACAGCTTAATGCTGTAGAATGCAGAGACTTGTAGTTTTACCAAGGTCTTTAGCCTTCTCAGCCAAAGTGCTGGAGCCTCATCGAACAACAATTTCTGGGATTCCATAAAATTGAGTCATGGCAGTTAAAGTGACATCAAACATCACAGTGTACAACAGCATTTGTCAACCTGGGGTTCGGGGGCCCTGGGGGGGGGGTTGTGAGGAAAGTTTCAAAGGGGTCGCCGAAGACCATCAGAAAACACATTTCTGATGGTCTTATTAACCTCTTTGCCAGAGAAGGCTGAAAATCTCTCCACCTGTCCTTCTCTTCTTTTTTGGTGTTGGTTAATTACAACTCCCAGAATTCAAAAACAGCCTCCGCCCCCCCCCCCGCCCCATCCCACCAGTATTCAATGTTGACTATGTAGGTGGTGTGCAGAGTTTGATTCAGATGCATTGTAGCCTGAGTTCAGAGTGCTCTTTTATTGTAGGTGAACCATAAATCCCAGCATCTACAAATGTCAAGGTCTATTTCCCCCAAACTCTGTCAGTGTTCACATTTGGGCATATTGAGTATTTGGGCCAAGTTTGGTCCAGATCCATCATTGTTTGAGTTCCTAGTGCTCTGTGGAGGTAGGTGAACTACAATTCCAAAACCCAAGGTCAATGCCCACCAAACCCTTCCAGTATTTTCTGTTGGTCATGGGAGTTCTGTGTGTCAAGTTCAATTTGTTCAATTCCATTGTTAGTGTTCAGAATGCTCTTTGACTGTAGGTGAACTATAAATCCCAGCAACTACGACTCCCAAATGACAAAATCAATCCCCCGCCCAACTTCACTGGTATTCAAATTTGGGCATATCGGGTATTTGTGCCAAATTTGGTCCAATGAATGAAAACACATCCTGCATATCAGATATTTACATTACAATTAATAACAGTAGCAAAATTACAGTTAGGAAGTAGCAACAAAAATATTATGGTTGGGGGTCACTACAACATGAGGAACTGTATTAAAGGGTTGTGGCATTAGGAAGGTTAAAAAATACTAGTGTAGAAACACCCTCTCATGAAAAAACATCAAAGAGTGAAGTCAAATTTGAATGACAACATGAAGGTCTAAGAGTTTCCTTCTGGCACTATATTAGAAAAGTTACCAGTTGGACCACATGACATTGTGACACTGGCCAACTTAGCAGAGAAAGTCAGGCAGTTGTTAAAAAAATAACTTTCCTATAGTCTTGTCTTTGGAGTCTTGTCTCCAAAGGAAAGTAGTATAACGAGTTGAAGGCTGTGTAGCTGGATGAAACTGCAAAATATTTGCTGATATGAGTCCTTGTGTTAGCCATCTAAAAGTTTTATTTGTGTGGCTGCCAAAACGTTTGGAACCAAGCCCTTCACAGCTGTTGCAGTAAGTCGTGCACATGTTGAATCGATTTGATTAGCATGTTTGACTTATTTATCACCCAAAAAAAATGCAATAAAACGAATGAATGGCAGTTGTTTACAATGAACTACATTTGTACTGCTATCGCTCAGTCTCCAGGCAGACAGATTCATTTAAAGTTCTTTTCAGTTTTTTTTTCCAGATTCTACCATTCTGAGTAATGCTCTACCATCTGCTTGCTAACTAAAACTGTTTTACTTTCTACTTCTGACCCAAGTTCACTTATGAATAAACCAAACATTTCTTTCTGGTACATGTCTTTAGAAATCTGCTGCCTACTTTACTCCATTACAAATACTATAATGATATTGTTGCTCCCTATTTTTATCCAGTTTTCCCAATCTATATAATTATTTGACTGTTCCTTATTAGAGATAATAGCCAAAATCCTTTTGGAAAATCCATGTTACTAATTACTGGAGATGTTCAATGTGTTGTTGAAGGCTTTCATGGCTGGAATCATGGGGTTGCTGTGAGTTTTCTGGTCTGTATGGCCATGTTCCAGAACTCTCCTAACATTTCACCTGCATCAATGGCAAACATCCTCAGAGGTTGTGAGGTATATTGGAAACTAAGCAAGATGAGTTTATATATCTGTGGAATGTCCAAGGTAGAAGAAAGAACTCTTGCCTGTTGGAGGCAAGTGTGACTGTTGCAATTGTCCACCTTGACTAGCATTTAATGGCATCACAGCTTCAAAGCGTAGCTGATTGCTGCCTAACAACTAACAACTACAACATTGGACTACACAGAGAAGCCACTGAAATCCACAACAATTTGGACAATTTCAACAGAAAGAAGGAAACCATGAAAATGAACAAAATCTGGCTATCCGTTTTTTAAAAACTCTAAAATCAGGACAGTAAATAAAGAGCAACACTAAAAAAAGCAGGGGAAATCCAGACGAGAATCCATGAGGGCCAGCTAACCTTCCAAACAAAGGATTCCCCCAGGCAGCAATCAACCAGGCTTTGAAGCTGCAACGCCATTAGATGCTAATCAGGGTGGCCAATTGCAACATTCACACTTGCCTCAAATAGACAAGAGTTATTTTCCCCACCCTAAACATTCCACAGATATATAAACCCCACTTATCTAGTTTCCAACCTCTGACGATGCCTGACATAGATGTGGGTGAAACGTCCGCAGAGAATGCTTGTGGAACATGGCCATAAAGCCCGGAAAACTCACAGTAGCCCAATTACTGGAGAACTGGGAGCCTTACTATATGAGCTCTGACAGCATTCAATAGAACTGA